CGCTGTGTCTGGCGGCTGCGGCGCTCATCGACCTCCACCTCCAGCTCCCCTTGGAGATCGATCCTCCTCTCCCGCGTGGGCTCTTCCCCCTCTGTTCCTCGGCGAATCTTCCTCTCACTCTCTGCTTCTTCGTGCTCACGCTGACGGTCCCTCCTTTCCACGTCCTCACGGGGCTCTGCGTCCCGGGACACGCGCTGGACCGTCACCTCGGCTTCTTCTGCCACTACATCGGTCTCTCGTGACCTTTCGTACCTCACGGACTCGCGTTCTCTCCTTCCATCGTGTTCAGGCTCGCCTGGCTGACAGTGACATCTCTCGCGTGTGTCCCTCTGGTTGGTGGTGGCACCTCGCTCTTCCCTTTCGCGTGTCTGGCGGCTGCGGCGCTCATCGACCTCCACCTCCAGCTCCCCTTGGAGACTGATCCTCCTCTCCCTTGCAGGTTCTTTCCTCCTTGCTTCATGTCTTTCTTCCCACTTCCGAGGCTGATGGATGTCTTTTTCCGTCTCTGGATATTCTAACTCGTGTTCTTGGTTCTTTCCTTGTTCATAAATTTCTTTTTCTTGCTCATGGATCTCATAGTACCTGAGGTCAAGTTCTAGCGGTTCCTGTATGTATGACTGATGTGGCTGTCTTGACTCCAGGCGTACAGGCTCATGTGCTTGGTGGCTGCTGTGTTGAAGTGCTTTTTGTTCCAGCTCACGTAGGTGGTAGTGGCTTCTGTCTACTATGAGTAATTCAGGTTTATGTGGCTGATTGTGTCTGCATCTGTCTGCTTCTTGTGGCCTCTGGTTTTTCTGATCATATCCTGGTATTGCTGGCTCACGTGGCTGATGTCTACTCCACCGGTTTGGCAGTGGCTGGGGTTCACAGGTCTGGCTGCGACTTCTCACATCTGCCAGTTGTTCTGGCTGAGGCCCCTCTCGATTTTGTCTGTCTTCTGCCTGCACTACAGGCTCGTGTGCTCGCACGTTGCTGTGCTTGCTGAGTTGTACATCTCCTCGTCCCGCTGGCTCCCGTGGCCGATGGCTTCTCTGGCTGTTCCATTGGTTGGTTGGCTCTTGGCTTCGTTCTTCGTATCCCTGAGGCATTGGTTCCCCCAGGTCATTGCTTCGTTTTGCATCGTTTCTGCTTTGCTTGTTACGTTGCTGGTGATGACTCCCCCTTTCCTCTGGGGTTTCAAGCTTGTTGACCCTGGTGTCTTGTTGCAGCTCAGGTTCACAGGGAGGATTATGATTTCTCTCACAGGTTTGTTGTTCCTCCTCCTGGAGCTGCCAATGGCTTCCTCTGTTCTTAATCTCAGGCTCTTGGAGTGACTTGCCACTGGTTGTCAGCTTTGTTCTTTGCAGAAGGCATGGTCCCTTCGGCAGGTACCAGTAGCAGGCTTTAGCCACTCTGAACACCAAAAGCAGGAACTCATTAAAATCTATTTCCCCATCCTCATCCCACTCCAGAAAGTGCAGAATCTTGTCAATTGTCTGAGGATCATGCGGCTTCTCTCGGGAAAACACTTTCTGCTCCTCAGCAGAGAAATGCAAAGACAGGGGAAATTGAAATCTTTTCTCCTTTGATCTCTCCCACCTTCACTTTTATAGCTCAGCAACAACTCCACGTCTCTGTTCTCCACTTTCTTGGTTCCCTGGCTGCAGCTAACCAGCTCTTCTCTTTGGGATATGCTTATCCCCGTACTGGATGCATTTCCTTCCTACATTTGACAGAAAACCAGACCTCCCCACAGTTCGTTCTCCAGCTTTTGCCCATTTGCTCATGACAAAAGTGGGTTGGAAGAGCTGTTGAAGCAGTCGGTGCAAAGGAATGTAACTGCTGCTCCTCTTTGGTGAAAGCCTCCCCATCCCACTGCTATCAGAATCATCCTGACTCCAGAAGGAGATTTTGCAGCCCCTGCACTCCAGTCGTGGCCTCAAGCCCTCCCCCTCGCAGCAGCACTCACAGCTATAACATCTGCAAACTCCCTCTGGATGAACTCTTTCATCCTCCTGCGGCTGAGGTTGGAGCAGTCTCCATCTTCCTTTGCATGTTTGTGAAAGACAGTGATGATGGTGGAAATGCTGTCTAAGAAGCGAGACATCTTCCTGCAGATTCAAGCAAGCCTGCAAGAAAAGGAGAAGACATAAGGACGGGAGATTTTCTTGCCTCTGAGCGTGAAGAGGAAGGAGAGTTGCCATGGTCGGGCTGCGTGCCTTAATAGGACACTGGGTGCCACGTCCTGTGTGTCTGCTCCTGTGCCATGGTTTCGCCAGAGCACTGGGAAGAAATTCAAAAGCTTAGGGGTTTTAGTGGGATGGGGAGTGTCCTCCAACTCATCTACTGGCGTATTTGAATGGTGTTTGGTAGGGGATGGCAGAATGCCTGCATTTATGGATCGCAGGGAGGGGACTGGGGATGGTGACTCAAGAGGTGCCCAAGATCCCATCCCCATGGGGCTCTACCAGGTAGTTATGTTTCCAGGACCCACGCTGCTATCTCTGCCCAGCACTCAGATACTTCTCTGGAGCAGGTTAGAGGATGTCTAACGTGGTGCTGGCATGGCCTGAGGCAAGATCTAGCTGGGTCAGAGACAGGTAGGGTGCTTACAGGGAGATACAAGCAGCCCCATGGCTGGTGCTCTCGTGAGTGGTAGTAATGAAAAACAACTGATAAAACTTCCATTACAGCATCAGTTCATCAGCAAATAAATTTTGGCCACAGAGGAACTCTCAGATCACCTCATTGGAGAGAATTCTTTAATTTTACTGAGACCTGCTTGGCAGAAAACAGTGCTCCTGTTGGGGCTTTGTGTCTGGAAGCCTGAAGAGCCTTCCTCCTCCCAGGATCCCCAAGCCTGGTACCAGGTACAGCAGTGCTGAGATCTGTTTGCAGCTGGGGAAGCTGTGCTGGGCCTGAACACGTGTGCACACCTCTGCAAACCAAGTCCTGGGTTCTGCTTATTTCTGTAGAAACCAGAAAATTTCCCTGGTCTGTTCGTTCTGGCTGGGAGCTGACTCCAGCCCCAAAGGAAGGCACAAAACCTGTCTCCCTCTCTTGTTTTCCCTTCAGGAAAAGTTGCCTCTACACATGGACACACGACAACGGCACGCAGGGGTCCAAATAACACGAACCAACACCTCACTGGATAGAGACACAAAAGACTCTCCAAAAATACTGCAGCAGGAACGACGCTGCCACCCAACACGAATCCTATAGAAATGACAAGTCCTTGCCCAGCAGAGGACACGTTTCAGAGGAGTGACTTACCCAAATCACCAGCGGGATCAAGTGGGATTCCTGTGAAGCCGTGCGAAGTGATCAGAGGACCTGAGTGCTTTTATAGGGTCCTTGACGGAGCTACGGAAAGGAGCCACCCTTTGTGGACATTGTCCTGATTCATCTTTGGCCAAGCCCAGCTGCACCTTCATGTCCTCAAACGGGTTATTTAACTTATCATCCCCTTCCCTATCATTTTAACCCAGAAATAGCAGTTGCCATGTGGCAATTCAGGCACTGGCTGGTTCCACCTAATCCAGACTGTAAAGTTATTTTACAGGCTGATTGTATTTCAGATTTTAAGAAATCTCGAGTAGCTGTGAGGCCTATATAGGCATCAACGGGAGGGTGTATTTTTATATAAAGGTGCATCTGCACAGGTACGAATTTATATTTGTATAATACGCACAAAAATAGTACTGGAATGAAATTTTGAGGCCGGGGACAGAAGTGCTGGCGGTAGCAGAGCTCCCTATGGGACAGTTGAGATTGGTTATGGCCCATGATCCTGGTACTGCAATACCAGAGGTTATTTTTGTTTGCTTTTTGTGCAGTTCCATCAGCACCTTGGGTCTGAGGTCAATGGGGTTTGTGCCTGGCTTTCACTCGCAGAAGGACAGAAGAAGACCTAAGCACTAGGAAATGAAATGCGGGTGCACGGCGGTGAGATCCCCAAATCCTCCAGAGCTTGTGTGGTGCCCTTGCAGCATGCGCTACAAAATGTGCTTTATTTTTGGTACCTGTTTATTGAGGACCCCTTTTGCTATATTATCCAGGTTTTTGTTGGGGGAAAAAGAAAAACCAATCACAAACAGAATATTTCTAAATGGCAAAGTTTGCATAAATGGATTTTTGTACAAGAAAATGTCTGTTCAATAAGTGATGACTTTTCATTGAGAAAAATCATGATAAAATGTTCTTTGCATGAATTGTCTTCCACGACTGACTTTCATTTCACCTTTGCTTGATCTTTAATTAAAAATAAAAGCAGAAACCTCCCTGCTGAGAGGTCGATTCGTGCTGAATCTTCCTCTGGTTGCCCTAGGCAGCTTTTGCTCTACAATCTTCTTTTTTTAAAAAAAACCCTCTTTTAACAGTAAATGAATTAGAGACCAACTGATTCCTCTCTTCACCCTGAACTCTCCCAGTATGCCGAGCAAATAAGGAAGACGCCAGCCATGCCACCTGGGCCCCTGCTTTTGGTTTTGGAGGTAGGATGCTGCCTTGACAAGCATGACGGAGACATTGCGGAGAGCCTTCGGAGCATGAACTTGTCACGCAGCCTTGGGTGAGTCGCTCATCTGGCCCATCTGTAAGGTCAGATCATACTGGGTGTAGGAGCCTAATTAATTAGTGCTGGTAACACCTTGGGGATACTCATACAAGTGTGTACAAAGGATCGTTACCAACCATACTTCATTTTTGAGCTTTTTTTCAAGATTAAATTATACTTGTGCAAATTATACCCCACCTGTGGGATAATAACACCCTTGGGAAACTGTAATTTTATGATAGATTGGAGTTATTATTAACATTAGAGTATTACAGTGCGGCTTGGTGTCCTGTAACAGTCTTTTAATCCCCCCTGCAGGGGCTGGGGCAATGGGGGATGGCTGGGTGCCGCGTGAGCCACCGGCCAGAGTTTGGGTATTGATGGAGGAAAAGGGACCTCGCGTTTTGGCCGTGCGTGCACTGGCATGCTCGCCACGCGTTGCTGCCATTCCCAGGACAAAGCAATGAGTTTCCAAGTACATTCTTGACAGCACCGGCCACCCCCTTTTTTCCAAGGGCTTTGTTTTCTCCAAAGATTTCTTCATTTCATGAGACAGGGCTTGGGTAGGTTTTTAAAAGCTATAAACCAAGAGGGTGGGCTCCGTCCTCCTGCTTCTTACCCAGTTCTGTGCCCATCCCCGTCACCATTGTGTGACCGAGCTTCTATTTAATTTAATCTTAGAGGAGCTGGGCTCCTTGTGTGGTGTATAAAAGACCTTTTCTCTTCCAACACCTCCCAGGCTTGCAGGACTCTTAGGCAGGCATTTGTGGCAGTGGGATAATTCTCAAGTTCTCCTTAAAATGAACCAAAAGCCCTTCTTACCTTCAAACATGACACTACAAAGGACAGGATGTCATCCAGAGAGACCTGGACAAGCTGTAGAGGTGGGGTCATGTGAACCTCATGACGTTCAACAAGGCCAAGTGCAAGGTCCTGCGCCTGGGTCGGGGTAACCCCCGGGATCCATACAGGCTGGGGGAAGAAAGGATGGAGAGCAGCCCTGCCCAGAGGGACTTGGGGGCGCTGGGGGATGCAAAGCTGGCCATGAGCCGGCCATGGGCGCTGGCAGCCCAGAAGCCAACCCTACCCTGGGCTGCATCACGAGAAGCGTGCCCAGCATCGAGGGAGGGGATTCTGCCCCTCTGCTGTGCTCTGGGGAGACCTCCCCTGGAGCCCTGCGTCCAGCTCGGGAGCCCTCAGCACCAGGAGGACATGGACCTGTTGGAGCGAGGC